ATACATATGTATATGTATATATATATATATATATACATATGTATATGTACATATAGCACTTAATGCACTTAATGAGTTGTGGGTTTTGTTTAGCTTCAAACTTGTTTTGAGACTCAACTTGTTGAGTTTAGTAAGACAAAGGTAAAAATATCTCTTGTGGTTGCACAAAAACAGATGTTACAGATGAACCAGCTGATCCCAGCAGGGCTCTGAACTGGGACAGGGGAACCACTGGTATTGTCTGGTGTGGTATGCCAGCACAGAAAGGAGATTAAACTCCAACTAGAAGCTTTATACAGTTTGTTCAACCAGACAGAAGATATTTTCATTCCATAATCTCCCCTTATTACTTTTCAGGCACATTTTATTTTCCTCAATGAAGAAAACGGTGTTATCAAAGAGCAGATGTAAATCTACAGACACGGATAATTAAATAAACGTTTATTTCATCAACATTTATTAAATTCAGTTGAAGTCTGTGATTCTCTTGATGGAGCCGACCCTGGGGCTGACGCCCCCCCAGTCGCTGTATCTGCGGTACTCTCCGGGCCTCAGGTAGTACACCCGGCCCTTGTAGTTGGGCTGGTCATACAGGAGCCAGTGGCCGTCCATCACGCTGCAGGAGTTAAAGTCAGCCATGCTGAGCTGGTCCTGGATGTTGGGACAGTCGTCCACCAGTTCGTGCATCTGGCCGGACATGTCGAAACGCTCGTAGAGCCTCAGCCTGTAGGAGCCATGATGCTGGCGCCACACCAGATACTGTTAATCTCTCACTTCAAATGGATCAAAGCTACAACTCTAACAAAACTCAAACTTTGTTGAGACCTACCTGGGGGATCATACGGCAGGACCTGACACAGTCGTTGATGCCGATCACTCGCTGGTTATCAGAGTAGTCTCCTCTCCTCAGGTAGTACTGGTTACCCGTGTAGTTGGGCCGCTCGTAGACCACGAAGCAGCCGCTCTCCACCCTGATGGAGTTGCATCTGTTGAAGTAGGAATGAAGGTCGGCGCAGTCACTGCTGCACTCGTGGGAGCGCCCCTGGAAGTTCTTGTCTTCGTAGAATATGATCTGTGAGAACAGAATTATCACTTATACAGGAAGTATGATAAGGGCATTCTGAAGGTGATGCCACACCGAGCCAGAGAGCGGCTGTTCGTTACCTTGCCCATCGTTGCGTCAGGTTGTCCAACCGGTCACTGCTGTCCCTGAGCCAAGGCACGGTGATTTATAAAAAACGAAAGAATGGGACGCTGTTTGATTGCACAGCATAAACCTTTGTCATTCAAATCCAGCCCACAGAATGATGATGGATCAGGGCTGGGGTGCATGTGTGTGTGTGTGTGGGGGGGGGGGGGAGGGGGGGGGCGCTGGGACAACAAATCTGTTTATGTGTCCATGACTCTTGGTTTGTCATTGTTCTCTCTCCTGTGTTCATCAAAAAGTCCTGATGAAAAATATGACCGAACAATGGACGTTTAGAAAGTCAGCAGAACTGGACAGCTTCAGAACATGTAAACTGGTCCTGTAGACCCCAAAAGAACCTTTAGACCCCAACAGAACCTGTAGACCTCAACAGAGCCTGT